GGCTCGGTTGGGCAGGCGTTCTGCAGGCCACGCCTTCTCCGTCTCTAATAACCTTAAGCTCCTTTGGACACGCTACGTTCAACTCCTTCACGCAACCTGTCCGGGTGCAGCTTAGGTCCTGCGACTCCACCGTAACGGGCAGGCTGAAACCCTTCACCAGGCTCACCGCGTAGAGGTCGTTACCGCCCGTGCCGTTCAGAACCAACTCCACCACAGTAACTGGCGGCGCCACTTTTCCCCTTGAGGCCCAGTCGCCGGTGATGCAGGAGAACTTTCCGGTAGCTTCCTCGGAACAGAGGGTCCGACCCCACAAGATTCCAAACCAAGTGGAAGGCACAGCGACGGTGTTGGACTCCCCTGGTTGAAGGACAAACCCGGTGGTTCTGCCGCAAGATGAAATGGCTGGCCAAATTCTGTAGCTGCACTTGTTTCTAATCATCAATGTTCCTGAACACCAGCATGATGTAAATGTAAATTAAAAGACTACCTTAGTAATATCAAATACTGTAAAAGAATCAAAGAAAGTATGAGAAAAGAAAGCCAATAAATTCAAAGAATTGAGAAGAATTCTTCATATATTATGGAATGGAATGAATACAAAAAAATGTATTTATACTGTGGAAAACAACGGAAAGATAAAAAAATTATAACAGATAAATTATCTGATTATAATAATAGAAAAAAGAAAATTAATAATAAAAAATATCAGCTAACACCCCTTCAAGCTGGAATGGATGTCAAACATTTCAAGCTTGGAAATAATCTGCTCAAAAGGTCTTGGACTAAGAGCTTTAGTAAAAACATCAGCTAGCTGATCTGCAGTAGAAATTGGTAGCAACTATATTAAACCAACTTGCAATTTTTCCGAACAATATGACAATCAACTTCAATATGAAGTAAGTTTAATTAGAATTATTTTACTTAATAACTCATATTTTATACAATAAATTTCAACAATCCAACCATTAAATTTCTCTTAATAAGTCAAATTTTTAGTCACTTTTTAAAGAAAATAAACTTATGAAATTCATTACTAAAAAAGACCTTATATATCTTCTCTTAATAAGTTAAATTTAACCTTTAATTAAAACAACTCTTAGACGAATAAAATTCTTAAGTATTTCTAAATTCTTAAAATTTCTCAACAATTAAATAACAATTCACAATATCATATAGTTTAATAAAATCAATAATTATTAACAAAATATAGTGTTATAGAGGAAAAATAAAATAAAGAGAAAGGGGAGAGAGAGAGGGAGAGAAAAAAAAAAAGAGGAAAAGAGAAAAAGGAAGATAAAGTGAAAAAAGAGAATAGATAAAAGTTACCGAGAAAGAAAAAGAGAGAGAAGAGTGAAAGAAGAAAGCAAGAAAGAAGAGTGGAGAGAGAGACGAAAGGGAGTAAGAAGAAAAATGAAAAATAAGAAATAGGAAAAAGAAATAAAAGAAATATAAAACACATGTAAGTGAAATAAGTATGAAAAAAAATAAAATTCTTAATTTTTTAAAATTTAAAATTCTATAACTTTAAAAACTTTCTTAAAATACTTAAATTTTGATTTCTTTGTGTTTACTTCAAAGTATTTAAATATTAATCTATTGTGTAAACACAGTTTTAGTCAGTTTTAGTTTTAGTTTTAGTTTTAGTAGGAAGCATGAAGAGTCACCTGACAGGAAATGGAATAAAAATAGAGTGGTGAAAGTGATGGATGGACTTGGAGTAGAAGAAGCCATAATTCTTCCAACACAACACAAGTGCAAGAAAAAGAAAGAAAAGAAAGGATCTGATTTGAGAAATAAGTGTGGTGGTACAATTAGTGGCCAAGTTAAGGGTATTTGTGAAATTAGCTTCCCTCCATAAAAGACGAAGAAAATAGAGAGATAGAGAGAATGGAAGTGAAAAAGAAAAATGAAGAGATGCAGTGAATTAGTCGATAGGTGAAGAGGGGATGCAGGTCTGATATTTATAGCACTTGTACGGCTCTGCGATTGACATTTCTGCCTCCAAGCTGACTCAGCTTTAATGTCCTTAACACGGTGCCTTGTATATGACGATGTCTTATACATCATATCTAATAGTATTTATTAAGGCATTTCAAATGAAGTAGCTTTAGTTGCGAAGTATATTCGTATATGAAAAAGTCCTTTTCAAATTTTTTTTTTCTATATCTAAATTTTCTTCTGTATCTTCTTTCTCTGTATTTACTATCAATAGTACGTGAATTGTTTAAAATTTATAAATATATATCTATATATATATATATATATATATTTTCATTAATTTTA